TGAACTTTTAATGTCATGCTGATATATTTTCTAATAAGCGTGACCCTGCTGAAGGGGTTATCTTATTCTTTCTGAAAATATATCCTAAATTAACTCACACTTTATTAGGGTATTTTACAATTCTATAAAATTCCTGGGGTAACATAGAAAAACAGTAAGATATGCCATTTTCTTTTTTTCTTTTCTGATAGAGATGATAACCCCAGAGGTTAAGATTTTATTGTTCTCTTCAGGTATACACTGCTCTATTTAACATGAATAACCAGCAAGGACCTACTGTCTATCACAGGGAACTCTGCTCAATGTTATGTGGCAGCCTGGATGGGAGGGGAGTTTGGGGGAAGAATGGATACTTGTATATGTGTGGTTGAGTCCCTTCACTGTTCACCTGAAGCCATCACAACACTGTTAATCGGCTATACCCCGATACAAAATTAAAATGTTTAAACAAACAAACAGAAAAAGATTTTACTGTCCTCTAAGACATGGGTTTCCCTGGTGGCTCAGCAGTAAAGAAGCCTTCCAATGCAGAAGTCGTGGATTCGATCCTTGGGTCAGGAAGATCCCCTGGCAGAGGACATGGCAACCCACTCTAGTATTCTTGCCTGTGAAATGCCATGGGCAAAGGAGCTTGACAGGCTACAGTCCATAGGGTTGCAGGAGTCAGATACAACTGAGTGACTAAACAACAAAAAATGCATGAACCCACTTTGATCTTTTTTTAATTTTATTGAAGTATAGTGGATTTATAATGTTGTTTTTGCTTTGATTTTCTTTGAATATTCCTTTTCCCATGGACTTTTTAGTCAGTTCCCCACATCCTCACAGAGTCAGTTTTGTTATTGTGCTAGTTCTTTTGTTAAATGAGTTCAATAAAACTTTTGACACATGCTCTCTATTGGCATGTCTTTGACAATCTAAGAAGGAGTTTTTGATAGTTCATGGACCCAACAATCAAACTGTCCCTGGGAGATTGAGTTCTGTGCTTAAGCACAGCAGTCAGCAGTCAAACTCAAAAGGTCAACTATGTGAAGACCACCAGACTCAGGCACAAATGAGGCCCCAGCACAGGTGGGATCCCCCCTCATATGGGCCACAGATTTAAACAGAATAACAAATATGTTGAAAGTGAGGAAGGGCAGCAATTCCACTCCTACATGTATATACATAAGAGAAATGAGTCCCTGTCTCCACAAAACACTCAAACTGGAAACAACCGAATGTGCATGTATAAGAAAATGGATTAAAAAAAAGAAAATGGATAAACAAGTTACAGCATACTCATAAAATGGGATACCACACAGCAAGAACACAATATTTGTTGTGTGAAAGTAGCCATATATACAAGAGTACATACTACATGACTATTTATATGAAATTCAAGTATAGGCAAAACTAATCTATGATGACAGATTACTTATGAGAAGGGGAATGACTGGAAAATGGCATGATGGAACTTTCTAGAGAGAGAAATAAAATTCATGTGGATGATGGTTACAGAGGCATGCGCTTAGATAAAAAATATCAAACTGTACAATTATGACAGCATTTTAGTCTATGTAAACTGCACCTTGAAAAATGAATAAAATTTTTTAAAAGAGAAGGGACCAAGAAAAAATGTACTCTAAAAGAAGTGGGTGAGGAAAGAGTTAGGGGGAAGAAAGGGAAGAGGGATTCTAAAAGATTCTTCTTTCACATGTATAGTAAATCAACTAAATAAGAACTAACTAAATAAAAGAAAAAGAGGAACAAACCCAAAAGGCCACAGGGCCTGGTTGGGTACATTGATGAGCACCAAGAAAGAGCCCAAGAGTTGCAGAAGCCCAGATAACTTTGTGTTTTGTTTTGTTTTTAATTTTATCATTGCAAACCAGGAATCTTCTTAATGCTGGAGTGGTCAGACTGCCGGGTATTTTTCCTTGAAGAAATTGAGACAATACAGAGTTGAGGGTGGATACTGAATCCCCACACTTTAGGGGAGCAGGTTCAACTGGGACACTAATTAAGGATCTGATAAATGAATCAAGAAAATGCTTAAGATAAGCTCTCCGATGATGGTCACATTGGCATAAGGCACACAACTAAACAATGAGATAATATGAGATTACTCAATTCTCTCTGGGGAAAAATGATTCTTAAGCTAAATAAGGCATGTGTAAACCTACTTTCAAAACTGTGAACTTATGCCAATATGATTATTACTACCTAAAGATGTATTTTCAGCTTCCAGAACTCTCTATGGCAGTGTTCTTTATTGTTCAGCTCTGCTGCATCCACCTACTGGATTTTCAATAATAGGCCTAAAACATTCCCAGTGGGTGAAGACTTGAAAATAGAATCAGCCATCTGAAAGAAGCGAAGTTTCTTTTTCTGCCAAATGTAACAGCCACAAGTGGTGCGGCCCCAGCCGCTCCTGCCACATCCTCTCTGGCACAGGTAGAGCAAGCACCTCCCAAGCATGCGGCTTCCCCTCCCTGGAGGTGCTCAAGCCAAGGTGAGACAAGTGTCAGGCAAAGGCAGGGGCTTTCAGGCCAAGGCCAGGGGAGAGAGTCCCTTCCTCCACCAGTAGCAGGGACAGCAGTAGGTGTTGGTAGGTGGCCGGCCACATGCTAAGTGACTTTGGCACATGGTCTCCTTGAATCCTCAGAGGGCCCTGATGGGGTGGTCGGGCTCGGGAGGGAGGGAAAAAACAGATGGCACACTCGAATTAGGTAATCTGAGATGGGAGGCATAAAGAGACTTTTACAAAGTAGGTGAAGGAGAAAGACACTCTGAGGCAGGAGCTGAGGGCTAGAAACAAAGGAGCCCCAGGTCTGCTGAGATGATGCAGGGAAAGGAATGTAGAAAAACGATCTGGTGGGAGCAGCCACCATCTTGCAGAGGGACACGGCCAAACACAGGCCAGCCTGGGGCAGGGAGCCAGGGGGATAAGTCCTGATGTCACTGGCCTCCCCTCTGCCTCAGACATCTCCCACCAGCCTCCCCTTGAGACAAAGCCTGCGGGCCATGCTGGCCTGGCCCAAGGCCCAGCAGGTGGAGGGAGGCAGACAGAGGCCCTGGCAGGGGAGCAGGATCTCAGTGACGAGCTCCTGCTCCCCAGCACCCCTGGGGCTCTTCTTGAGCATGCCCTCCCTGCCCTGGTGCCCGCCAGCTTCCACAAACACTTACGATGCCCCACTATCCCTGAGCAAAGGCTAAGTTCAAAGTTTCTGAGTCTGTAGATTACTGGTTTGGAATAAGCCAAGGACACAGTAAGGGGCTTCCCCGGTAGCTCAGATGGTAAAGAATTGGCCTACAATGACCCAGAAGACCCAGGTTCCATCCCTGGGTTGGGAAGATCCCCTGGAAAAGGGAGTGGCTACCCACTCCAGTATTTTTGTCTGGAGAATCCCATGGACAGACAAGCCTAGTGGGCTACAGTTCATAGGGTCACAAAGAGTCGGGCATGATTGAGCAACTAAAAGAAAGAAAGAACACAGTAAAGGCTCTAAAAACAGGGCCCACCTTCTAAACTAGACCTGGAGTCCCTCCTTCCTCTGGTCCTCCCCTCCTTCCCATGGTTCTACTCTGTCACTCCTTCCTCCTCCATCTTCATGCCAAGCTTTGTCTCTTTTATCCAGAAAAGTTCTCCTTCCAACTCAGAATCTGGCTCAACACCAAGGATGGTCTTTTCCCAAAAATTGGGGTTAAGCTGGGAAGGGCAAAAGAATTCACCCTCGTTCACTCATCAATAGACTCAATCCCTGGGACCCAGATGTGAAGCTGTTCTCCTCTTAAAATGGGAGAGAGAAGGCTGCCAGGTCCAACCATAGTCCAAGAAAAAAAGTCTATCCTCCCACCACTGTTCAGAGCAAGCAAGGTTTATCAGCCTGGAACCCACCAAACTCTCCCCAGCTTTCTGCACACCAAGGAGAAAGAGCACAAGAGAGGTTAGTAGGATCCTCTGAGGCAAGATCTTGAAGAAAGATGAAACTGGGTTTCCATTTGTTCTACACTGGGTGGGGATGGGGGTGGGGGTTACTGATAGAGGGCCCAGGGGGTGAAGGCTGGAGTACCTCACTGTTCTTCAACAATTCCTCCCATGTCACTCACGTGGCCCTTTGATGGGGACACCTGCTTCTCTGGGCTTAGCATCCCCCACACCACCTGCCTCCCGATGGCCCCAGGTCTCAGGCATGGTCTGGTGCCACCGGAACTACAGCAGGGGCCCTGGGGACTCCTGCACGCCACCCTCCCTACCAAGAACAGGCCTGTCTAGCCCAGCACTGGGGGGGAAGGTTATGGTCCAAGGACTTTTTAGACCTACGTGGTATTTCCCACTGGGATCAGCCCATAGGTGATCCGTTTTTACATCTAATTCCAACTATTATTTACAATTGCATGGTATGAAATTTCTCAACATGACTGAGTTATTCAATACATTTTTGTAATTAACCCTTCGGCCAAGGCCATCATTTTCAAAACCTTACTGTAAAAAAAGAAAAAAAAGATTTTACTCAATGCTTCAAGACCACAAAGGGGGAAAGGAAAATAATATTGTTCCTATCAAAACAGCAATATGATGTAAAGACGGAAACATGGCACAATTGGAATTCTGCATTTAGTTTGCTACCTGATTTAAGTGTTCAAAACTGAGTTTCACCTTCATTTCGGATGGGATAGAAAAGGGCAAGAGTCTTTGAAACTATCAAAGCATACACACAATTAAAAGTAAAACAAGTAAAGCAAGTGGACAAACTTTACATTTTCTAGCATTGTCTAAGTGATACACAGTTCGGAAAGTGAACATCCTGGGCCTTAAAGGAAGTGAATTGAAAACAAGTATCCCCTGATATCAAGGGCCAAGCTCTACGTGCTCTTCTTGACAGCACTGTGAGATGTCAAGCTGTCAACTCCTCCCCTGGGAGGGTCCCAGGAAATTCCTCCTCAAGTGCCCCCACACCTTTGGCCAGTAGAACCCACATAGGAGACAGGAAAAGGGGTTTTCGCTTTGTACTCACTCTTACAAAGTTGTCAGGGAACAAACCTCTCCTGCCATTGATCTGTCCCTCCCACCAGCCTCCATCCTCCTTCCTGATGTTGGTGATGATCTCACCCACGGTGATCGTCAGCTCATCGTCGTGCTGGGCCTGGTAGTCAAACTCCACTATGGCCTCCACTGGAAGGAACAGGGACCAAAAAAGAAGAAGAGCACTTTAGATCGGATGTTGGAAAAATCCGAAGCTGGCAGCACTGGACAGTCAGGAAAGTCCTATTAAAGGGGCTTCCCCTCTACCAGTACTTAAAATAACAGGGCCACCCACAGCAGCCCGACTTTGGTTAACCTGAGGCCTGTAGCACAGAAGCCACAAAGTGCTGGTCCGTGGTCAGGCGCCAGCAGAGTGGCCTACAGGTCTCAGGACCAGCGGGGGCTTCCGAGGGGAAACCGCACAATGACAGAAGAATGACACCTTGTGCACCACCCTGCCCCCAGACGCAGCCCAGCACCATTCCCCCAGGCACAGAGACTGCGGACCACGACAGGTGCCAGTCTGGCTCTCGGGTGCCCTCTCTCTCATCAAGACTAGGTGAGGCTAACCTCCCAGCCCGAGCTGTGCAAAATGTGGGTGATGAGCATGCCCATGCTACAGAGATAATGCCTGCCTCTCACCAATAAGAAGATGGCTGCTTAGGCAGCAATACCATTTGCAACTGTTCTCCCGGCCCATGGTGATTTTGTACACACAGTAATAAGTGGAGGCAAAAAATGAGGCAGAGAGGTCTTCTGGTATCCATGCAAATTAACAGAGCCAATCAACCCAGAGGTTGACTAATTTATCCACACAGACTAAACAGTTCATCTGCTCTTCAGGGTTCACCTCATGCCCACCTCAATCTCTTGTACTGTTCCTTTTTTACTTGCAGCTTGATCTGAATGAATGAATAAATGGATGGATAGACAGATGAACAAAGGGTGAATGAATAAATACAAGGGTAGTAAAAATTAGGTGAAATCACAAGTGCTGAATTAGCAACTTAGAAATTACAGTAAAAGAATAGAAAAAGGACTTCTCTGGTGGTTCACTGGCTAAGACTCTACACTCCCAATGCAGGGGGCCTAGACTCTAGCCCTGGTCAGGGAACTAGAGCCCGCATGCTGCAACTAAGACACAGCATAGCCAAATAAATAAATAAAAATCATTTTTTTAAAAAAGAATGGAACATATGTACACCTATGGCTGATTCATGTTGATGTTTAACAGAAAACAACAAAATTCTGTAAAGCAATTACCCTTCAATTAAAAAAATAAATAAATTTTTTAAAAAAAAGAATGGAAAAGTTAAAGGAGCTCTATAAGGAACCCATATATAAAAATGAACTCAAAATGGATCATTGGTCTAAATGTAAGAACTAAAACCGTAACATTTTTATAAGAAAGCACAGGAGAAAATCTTAGTGATCTTGGGTTTGGCAAAGATTTCTTCAATAGAATACCAAAAAAAGTGCAAATGACTTTTACAAATTTAATATACAGGGGTAGGTTTTCCAGGAAAAAGGCTGGTAGGTGAATGTGCCCCCTGTCAAATACATTTTGCATATATATCCACTGGGGATAAATTCCTAAAGTGTTTCCAGATGAAACAACCCTATCTACCCAGACTGGTGTGCTCATCTCGTCCACTTGTAATGTCAGCTAACCCAGACAGTTCATAAGCAACTCAAAGCAGAATTTCCTTTCCTAAATTATTTTTTCATTCCAAAATTAGCTGGCTGACTGTGCTGTCATAAATCTGCCCAGGCTGAAGTTGAGTTGTGAACCATTTTCATCACTTATCAACAGAAAGGAAAAGTGTAAGAGCATAAACAAGGCAACCTTTTCAGATTTCTCCTGGTTCCTGACAAATACAAAGACAGAAACACTCCAATTTTCTTGTATCATATGCTCACGCCAGCAGTTAAAACGAACCATCATAACAATCAGAACCAGGTCGATCAAAAAGCAGCTTTCTTCAAATTACCTACACAAGGATCTATTGAAGCTCTGCTATCAGAACTGAGATTACAGTAACCACTGTTTATGTGCCAGACACTTTTCCTGCATTATCTCACTTAATCCTCTGAATGCCCATCTTTCCCAATTAAAGAACCTGAAGCTTAGCAAAGTAGTTAAGCTTATTTTCTGAGCCAGTGCTCTCCAAACTGAGATGTACTCACTACTTGAGGAATTAGTTGACAAGATGAAAAAAAAAATGAGTTCATTCACTTTAATTTTAAAAAGAGAAATTCAACATCTCTAACATTCCATTTGCAGAATGACACTGGCTCCTTCATCCAGCCTCTAGGTCAGGCAGTCAGGGATGCTCCAAGGGCACAGAGCAGCCTGCAGGACAGCTATGTCCCTTGACAAGAGTGGCTGCCAGAGTCAGCACCAGCTTTCAGCTTCACGGGGCACCCCACAGTTCTGAGAGGCCTCGTGGTAGAGCCTCTTTATGACTATTACCCCTTTTAACTAAAATCAGCCTCACTAAATGGATGAGAGACTTGAGAAGATTTTGTAAAGAAAATAAGGGTTGGAGATAATATTCAACACACGACCATGTCAACAAAAAAACATGGCGGTGTTGCCACTTCAGTCCCTAGATGGGAGCTCTTTGTCCACCATGTTGGGAGGCAAACACAAGTACCAGCCAATCAGCACAACACACTCTGAGTTATAGTGACAATCTGTAATTCAGGTTTTCTCCCATTCTTGATACAGGTTTAAGTTACCTAATTATAATATGTAACTATTGGAATTAGCAAGTTATTTAAAACGATGTACCTGAGCCATGAGGAAAAATGTCTTCACTTTTCACCAATGTCTAAAATCATACAATAGTCAGTCTTATGTTTTCCAAAAGCTCATTAAACCTAATAATAAATGTTTAGAAGCTTTTTGGGGGGTTTTCTTAATCAATAAGTACAGCAATATATTTATACATAATCTATAAATAAATACATATATGGAGAGAGTAATTTTTTAAATAACAGGTATTATTCTTTTTCACAAGAATAGGATTGGAACACTGACCTAGGCTCTGCAAGGCTGATCCTATTGCAGTACTTAGAGATGAAAACTCAGTTTTTTTTCTTTAATTTTTTGATGCAAATCATTTTTAAAGTCTTTATTGAATTTATTACAATATTGCTTCTGTTTAATGTTTTGGGTTTTTTGGCTGTGAGGCATGTGAGTTCTTAGCTCCCCAACCAGGGATCAAACCCTCACCCTCTGCAGTGGAAAGCAAAGTCTTAACCACTGGACCACCAGGGAAGTTCCCACTCATAGCTTTTCTGATAGGGACAGAGTATAGCCCAAAGCAGAGCTGGGGGGAAGCAATGCATGGGACCTGCCTGACAGAGAGGGGGAAGGAAGCTGCTCAAGGGTCCATCTTGATGCTAAATTGAAATGATGTGTATTTTGGGAAACTCAGAACCCCATCAACTTGGAGAACACAACTGTGCTGCTTCTTTCTTAAACAGCAAGTCTCATTTTCTGCCTTTTCCACACTGGCTTTATCAAGGTGAAGCTGGAAGAGGACAAAGGGATCTGCTTCAAGAAGATGAGTCCAAAGAAATAAACAGCTGCTGCCTGTTGTTGAAAACTGGAGAGAAGCAATAGCCTGGTTTGGCTTCCATCTCCTTCTTATGAGGAGTCCAAGAAGAACACAGCTTTACCAATGGCTGCTAGGAATAAGGCTGAGGGTGAGGACTGTGGGCTCAGGGATCTATAAAGCATAACAATAATTTTTAAGTCTTCCCAACATCCTATTGAGCTGGTCTTTCCTGAGTTACCCTTCCTTTAAACCCCCAGACACTTAATCTCAAGCGCTCTGCCTTCTTTCTGGGCCCAACCGGACTCTGGCTGGCCCCTTTCTGGTTCATGTGGCCCCCAAGCCTCCCTGGGCTCTGGCACTGAAGCAATTTCATGCTGTGGTGGCTGCATGTGTGTCTTGTCCTCCCAGAAAGCCTCTAAATACCTTCTGGGCACAGATGTCCCTTAGTTTTGCCGTGGTCCCTATGAGCACCCATGACATACAGTAGGTACTCAATCAAGCTGTGAGAAACCAACGGCTCAGCTTGCATTTGCATTTTATAATGGCAGATAGTTCCCTGCCCAACAAAGATGCTACTAAAATGCCAAGTGTCAATCACATTTTTGCAAATTGAGTCAGATCTTCGGTGCACTAAGGGAGCTTGCTATTTAAAGGATCCTGTGGTTAATTCTTTTGTAACATGAATAATCACTTCCTGCTTTACCTTTCCTGTCAAGAAGAATTTTTACATATCAAGTTTCTCTAAGAGGAGGAAACCTATGTATGGCTTTGTTAAGAGCTCACAAAACATGTGGTTATGTCTCTCCTACCCCTTTTAAGGGCTCTTTCAATGTCCCTTGTAAAGCCTTTGAAAGATTTAGAACTTTTGCTGTCCACTGAAGTGTCACTTGCCATATGTAACTATTGAATACTTGAAATGTGGTTCGCCCAAATTGAGATGTGCCATAAAATACACAGCAAGTGGCAAAAACTTATTAGAAAAAAAAAGAATGCAAAAATTTCACTAATTTTTATATTGATTGTATGTTGAAATGATACCATTTTAGATGTGCTAGGTGAAATTATTCAATTTCATTTCAAGTATTATTCAAATAAAATTCACTTGTTTCTTTTCCTTTTCTGAATGTGGCCACTAGAATACTTAAAATCACATACGCAGCCAGTATTATATTTCTATCTTAGAGAGACAGTTTAGGATAATACTTGGCAGACAGGATCTCTAGATCTCACAAAGCACAAACACAGTCAAAATATGCACAGGAGCCCATGAGAAAGTCTGTGGCCCTAAAACCCATTTTCTTGTCTTCAGGAAGCTGCCACTAGGAAAAAACCTGACCTAAGTTTTTTTTTTTTTTTTTTTTTAACAGTACCCTTTGGGAAACTACCTCTGGGCATGAGCACAAAATTAAAACATTAAGCTAAATAAAATATATCAGAGGTATAATTAGGCCAACAGTAAACAAAATCCCATGTTTAAAGACACCATAAATTATAAAACTTAAGGACGTCTCCCTGTCAGAAAATACCACTCTCCAGCTGCCTGCGGTGCCAAAAGCCAGCCTCCACACGTCTGCTAAAGCTACC